CAAGACCCACTCAGCTCTGTGCCCTTGGGCAAGAGACGTCGCCTTTCTTGGCCTCAGTTTTCCCTTGTGTAGGCAAGGGAGAATGATCGCTGCCTGACCTAACGATCAATGAGATGGATGATGGCAAGGACCTCAGGCAAGGGCTGGGTCACACTGCCTGGGTTCAAATCCCAGGCCCACCATTTCCTGGCTGGGTAACTTTGGGCCCGTGACGGAAATTCTCTGAACCTCAGTTTCCCCTCTGTAAAATGGAGACAATGACAGTAACACTTCATGGGGTGGTGTGGGGCTTATCAAGGGTAATGCTGCAGAGTCACCGGAAGTGCTCCGTGAAGCCCTCAGGTTTCACAGATGGGGGGGCCTGAGGCCTGGGGAGGACAAGAGTTACCCAGTGCAGAGCCCTTTGGAGAAAGGCCTCACTGGGAGCAGAGTTCAGAAAACATGGCCAGAACTGTGAGGCTGGAAGGCTGGCCAGCTTCTCCTTGAGCCAGGGGTCTGGACCAGCCTGTCCTACATCAGTCACCTCGTCCGCAGAACCCTAAGCAACAGGGGGAAGTGTCTGTGTGTGTTGGTGGGGAGACAGGGTGCTCTCTCTTGCCAGGGCCCCAGCCAGACTCCCTGGGAAAATTCTGACTCAGGAATGTGCTCTTCTACTCCCAGGGCTGTGATGGGGATGCAGCAACAGGGAGAAAGAAGCAGGTCCCAACATGGTCTCCCTCTTCTCTGCCCCAACACTTGAGGCCTTGCTGTATCTGCTCAAGCACAGCCCACAGGTAGCTCAGGTGGCCTCTGTGCGGGGAAGGAGGGGAGCTGCTCCTTGCAGGGCAGGGAGATTTCGGGGAGGCGCAGGCCCATCCCAGCTGCAGTGCAAAGACTTTGCAGGGACACCCGTATGCCTGTGCCCTGACCCCTCGGCCACACTCCTGCTGGGTGACTTGGACAAACTCTTGCCCTCCTCCACACTTTGGTTTTCCGTGGCCATGATGAAGCCCTTGACCTCTAGGTCCTTCCTTCCTTTCCAAGGTCTGCTGGCCACCTCCAGGGTTACAACACCAGCAGCTGCTCTCAGGGCCCAGGAGGAAGCCCTGCTCACCCCAAAAGCCCCTCTATTTTCCATCCTGGATCTGTGCTAGCCTTACTATGCACCGCCTCAATTGGGGGTGCCAGTTACATAGCCCTGCCCTCCAGATCCTGGAACTCACTGCCAAGACACTCCCCAGCTCAAAAGCCAGCAGTGGCTCCCATTGTCTTCATGGTCTAGCCCCATCCAACTTCTACTTCCAGCCAGTTCGGGATGTGCTTGCCATGTTCATCCCTGTCTCCCTGCTCTGTTCCTGCTCTGACACACACATACCTGGGTGGCACGCTAGCTCCTCTCCATCCCTTAGGGCCCAGTCCTGCCTACTCTGGGAAGCCTTCCCTGACTCCAATTCCCCTATAAAATATTCCAGATGCTTGCGCTTTAGGAGGTGTGTCAGGTCCTTGTTCAGTGCCCCTGGCAGGGAGGAAAGCAAGCCACTTCCCACTCCCCAGCCTGGGAGAGCCACACCCCAGCCCTAGTGAAGTGTCTCTCCACATGGGGGCTGCTCCCCCAGTGATCTGTGAGAGCACAGTAAGTGGCACCCCCACAGGCCGTTAGACAAGCTACTGAGTCACACCATGAAAAAGTCCTTTACTTTTCAGTCTTTCTCAATCCCGGCGGCAACCAGGAGAAGCGCCCATTTAGAACTAAATTGTCTCTAACCTCTTTCTACCACTGCCTTCTGTCCTTTTGATTTTCATTCTTCAAGCTTCTATTGGACATAGAAAACAAGACACCTGATTTTTAGTGATTTTTTATTGTGGCAAAATATACAAGAAATTTACCATTTTAGCCATTTTTAAGTATACGGTTCAGTGGCATTAAGTACATTCATATTGCAACCATGGCCACCTTTCATCTTCAGAGCTCTTCCATCTCGGGAAACTGAAACTCTGTACCCATTAAACACTAACTCCCCATTCCCCACTCCCTACAGCCCCTAGTAACCACCACTCTACTTTCTGTCTCTGTTTGGCTCTAGGAACTCTAGGAACCTCGTATAAATGGAATCATACAATATTTGTCCTTTTGTGACTGGCTTGTTTCACTTAACGTGATGTCTTTATGGTCAATCCATGCTGTAGCATATGTCAGAATTTCCTTTCTTCTTAAGGCTGAATAATATTCCTTTGAATGTATAGACACATCTTGTTTATCCATCCATCCACCAACAGACACTTGGATTGCTTCTACCTGCTGGGTATTAGGAATAATGCTCCTGTGAACATGGGTGTACAAACTGTATCCCTTTTTAACAGAGAGAGTTTCTAGCTAGACTGATGATGTTGTTTATTTACATGACGTTTATTTTCATGACTTTCTTCTAGTTACAGCACCTGATAACAGATTTCCTATTTAGCCTAAAATACATCTGTCCTAAAAAAAGTGAAAAGATTTAAAGAAAAACACTAAGTAAATAATAGCACAAGTGCTATATGTTGATGGCAAAAAGTGGCGGCAGAGACACAGGCCAGAGAACTGCGGAAGTGTGGGACATACTAACACAAGCCTCAATCAAAACCCTCCTGTGCTAAATTGGGGAAAGAAACCCCTCGGGGTCCACTGGGAGGCTGACACCAGATTAGCACTGCATCCAGAAGACTGCCAGGAGGTGTGGTTTTAGCAAAAGGAATGAGAATGGTAAAACTGAAAGTCAGATCTGGGCTCTGAGACCTCCCAGCCGTGTGACCTGAGTCTGTCACTGGGCTTCTGATCTGAGGATCACATTTCTCACTATGAGATGGTGGTAACAACACCCAGCTCATAGGATGGCTATAAAACTGAGTTAATTCATGTGAACTCCCAAGCCTATGGTCTATGAGTGGGCAGTTCTCCCCACCTCACCCCCTGCAAGAGACACCCCGGGACAGTATTTTTGTTTCTTTTCTTGAGAGAGAGCCCTATTGTGATGATGTTATAATTGGAGCTTAAGTTCATCATCAACTCAGCCTCCTCCACCTTCACTATCTGTATCCCCACCTCCAGAAACTCTGGTAAACTCTAGACTCTTGGTCATGGCTGTCCTTACTGGCTGTGAAACTTTGGGTAAGCCTGAGCCGAGAACCTCAATGAGCATTTCCCCAGGTTTAAAATGGGGATGTTCCAGTCCTCTGAGTACTGAATATCTGAATCTCTCAGGTCCAAAGTACACACAGTAAGCAAAGGCCAGCCACTGCAACATTTACAGGTTAGTTCCCTCTCAACCACCACATATCCCCACCCAAATCAGTCCCTAGCTGACTGTCAGATGCTATTAACATTTAACCATGCAAATACAAAGCAAATGGTTATGAGTGAAACTGCAAATCTTGCAAAAAGCGTGAGATTTCATGAAGTTGATGGAAGTGATGCCGTGGAAATGGAGCAGCAGCTGACCACAGAGGAAGAGAACTTCTGTAAGAGAAATGACCAAGAACTTCCAGAGAGAACTGTTTGACTATCAAAGCATTCATAGTGAGCCTTGGGAGTGAAACCCCAAATACTTCTGCAAAAAATGATCCTCTTGCTGCAAAGAGCCAATACTTTGTTCATTCTAATGCATGCATGATTGCAACCATAATCTAAATACAGGCATACCTTGGAGATATTTCAGGTTCGGTTCCAAGCCACCACAGTAAATCAAATATTGCAGTAAATCGAGTCACACGAATTTTTTGATTTCCCAGTGCATGTAAAAGTTATGTTTACACTATACTGTACTCTAGTAAGTGTTCAATAGCATTATGTCTAAAAAACACTTTTTAACTTAAAAATATTGCTAAAAAATGCTAACCATCCTCTGAGCTTTCAGCGAGTCATAACCTTTTTGCTGGTGGAAGGTCTGAAATATTTTGAGGGTTATCAAACGGTGACACAGAGACACGAAGTAAGCACACGCCATTGGTGCCAATAGACTCGCTCTAGACAGGGTTGCCACAAACCTTCAATTTGTTAAAACAAAACATCTTGTGAAGGGCAATAAAAAGAGGTGTGTCTCTATTGTTAATTATCGGTTCAAACTAATTTATCTTCATTTCTAGTTTCTTTTCCCATGTAAAGTCCCAATATAGCAAGGTTCCCTCCACTACCTCTCTGAACTTCTGGTCCTCTTTTTAGACGGATTCACCTCAGTGGCCTTCCAGCGGACAGGATGTGGTAAGAACAGGGCCGCCAGGCGCCCGCCTCCCCTTCTCGCCAAAACCGAAGACACCCACTCCCAAGGGAGAAAGTCCCAAAGTGGCAGGGCGCACGCAAGGGCCCCAGAAGGTAATTGCCCGGGACCGCCCCCGTCAGCTGCGGCCCTACCCTTCTTAGGAAGTACCCTGGCACATCAGAGAAAACCTCCGCCCGGCAGGCCAAGTGCCCCATCACACTTCTCAACATGCGCGAGGTTACTCTGGCCAACCCTTCTGTTGTACAAAGGGAAAACTGAGGCACGATGAGGGGCAGAGACTTGCGGCTCCACGTCCACTCGGTGGCAGAGCTGACACTGGGAAGAATGCAGGTAACAAAAGTGAACACTTGGTAAACAAGCTCCACGTGTTGAGCCCGGGACAGCCGGTGCCCACTTCTGCTGCTGGGCGCCTAGTATGTCACTGGCGCAAGGAGAAACCTGAGGCGGGAAAGCCGAGCCCCGCGGGCGCCCCCAGACCATGCCTTCCTTCCCCCCTCCACTCTCGGCCCCCATGCTGGGGTAGGGCCTATGTCGGGGTCCGGCACGCTCTGTGCTGATCCCGCCGGCTCGGCCCGCGCCCCTCGCCCCAAAGTTAGGTTTGGGTCCTCCACCCCACCAACTAGGACGGCCAGGGTCAGAGCCAGTCCGCAACCCGCCTGGGCCCCACCGCCCCCGCCCAGCCGACTCCTCTCCCTCCCCTCCCCCCGAGAGGGAGGAGGAGACTCCGCGGCCCTCCCTCGGCCCTCCCGGCGGCGGCCGCAGCAAGCCCCGTGCCCGCTCCGCCCATCCGCGGCGGGTCGGACGTCTGGAGCCCGCGGGTCCCCGGCCGAGGTGAGCGGGGCCGCCAATGCAGGAGACCGAAAGCCACGGCGTCCCGGGAACTCCCTCCAGGCCGCGAACCTTCCGCGGGAGGGAAGGGGTTAAGTTGGGGGCGTGTTGGAGTAGAGGAGAGCAGCTGGGGCTCTCGCATCCGCAGCAACCCCCACACTCGGAGCAGAACTTCCTAGCCCCCTCCCCGGGTTCCCCCACCTCCTGGGGTCCGGGCCTCGGGAGTGAAGGGGCTGCGGGAGCTGGGGGTAAGGCAGAGCCGCCCTCGGAATGCAGTGGGCCGGGGCCGGACGGGAGGGGGGCGCCAGCGGGCGGGGGCGGAATTTGGAACTCTCCCGGGGGACCCAACGTGGTCACCATGGCGAGTGCGGGATGGATGGGCGGCGCGGGCCAATCGGAGCGCGGCGCCACTGCCCCAGGCCTGCGGCGGCTGCCAATGAGAGACCGCGTGGTGGGGTAGGCGGGACCGCGTCTCGAGGGGCCGGGAGACCCTCCTCCCTCACCCGCGGCTCGTGTGAGCTGGGAGGCTGGGGAGCGGGCTAGGAAGAGAGGTCTAAGGCGGCTCCCGGTCGTGGGAGGGCAGAAGGGGAATTTCTGGAAGGAGTTGGGGCAGGTGGAACGACGGCTCAGTGCGAGGAGAAGGGAGTGGGCCTCGGTTGCCCCACCGTTCTGATTGTACGAACGACTGGTGTCCGGCAAGCCCGTTCCCCATCCGGGGCTTCAGTTTTTGTCTTAAGTGTCGGTTATGTAGGGCTGTTGTGGAGCTTGGATTAGTTCGTATTGGCGCAGATTTTTCCCACTTGTTGGCCAAAGCTTTTAGGTATCTTGTTAGTGCCTCTCCCCATCCTACAAGTAAGGAAACAGCCTCGGAGAGGGCACGGACTTGAAGATAGCACACAGCATAACAGAGGCAGAGGTGAGACTCCTGGGAAGTCTGCTGTACAAGAGTGAATAGTTCAAGGAGTTGCTCAGAGGCCCGGGGCAGGGGTCCGCCCCCATGAAAGGCTCCCATCCTCTCCCAGCTATGCTTGGCCACTTGGCCTGATGACTGAGGACCCCATTGTGTAGGTGGTCCCAGGGGCATCTTGCCCCTCAGGTGATCACGACCCAAGAGGGGAGGCATCCCGTCCCAGCATTCTAGCGCCCCACCCCCAGCCCTACTTTGCTGCTGGTCCTCTATATGGATGTGGACCAGTAGCTGTACCTCTGGGTCTCTGGGTTGGCCTACTTATAAAGAAGGGAGTTCTGATCGGTGATTTAGGATATCTGTGGCTCCTCAATATGAGATGGGGGTACCTGGGAACAGGCCAGGGGTGGCCACCCCCTCGGGCTCCGGTTCAACCTGCAGGCTCAGCTTACCTTCCTCCCTCCTTCTCAGTCCTCTCCTGGAGGTCCAGTGACTGGAGCGTGGGCAGCAGGTCAGAGGGACAGGCGCCCACAGTTTGTGGGCTGACCAGCCTTGGACCCTGCACTTATCCAATCAGGCTGTCCTTTGTGGTTTCCTGCCGGGCTCTGCTCCCTGCCCACAGCCAGGCCTGTGGCCACACGCCAGCGCTAGAGCCCCACCTGAAAGGTTCTGGGAAAACATGGAGGGTTTCTGAGCTAGAGGGAAGAGTAGGGCCACCAGGCGCACTGGCCCCAATCCCCTAAACTGGGCCCCATCTAGGCCTCAGCATTGCTTACTCTTCTCACTAGATATGAGTCATCTAAACATGCTAAGGACGAAACACAAAGTTGTCCCCCTGTGAATCAGGCTTCCTCTGCCTGATCCTTGACCTGGCCATGAGATGACCTCTCACTGTGACCTTGGCCTCAGACAAACTCGGACGCCTACCTGGTTCAGAGCCTGGCCACAAAATGACTCCTGATCCTTAGGATGGCTCAACCCTCCCAGGTTATAGGCAACCCTTAACTGTTCATTTTCCATCCATCAACCTGGGAAGCATTTATGCAGCATCTGGGCCCTGTGCTGACAGCCAGTGAGACCAAGATACCCTTGTGGACTTCACAGTGTGGCAATTGCTGAAGAACAGGGAGGTGCCAGTGCTTTGGGAGCACTAACGTACTCTGTGTACAAGGTCAGGGAAGGCTACCCACAGGAGAGGTATCCCAAAGTAGGTCTTAAAGGATGCGTAGGAGTTTGCTGCTGGAGAAAGAAAGGAGAAACAAACATTCCAAACAGGTCCATGAGCAGCAGGAACCACTGGTCACTTTGTGTAGACAGGGCTGGTGAGGGCCTAGCCTGAGGCAAATATCGAATCAAAACATTATGGTTTCTGTCCTATGAGTGGCCAGCCGCTGCCTGGAGCAGTGAGGATGGCTGCAGGGATGGGGTTCAGGGGCTCTGAGTCCCACGTGGCCCCGCTGCCCAGCTCAGGGGACCTGAAGTCATGGTTCAGCCTTCTGCTCTCCACCCCACCAGCCAACTTGGAGTAAATCTTGTATGCAGGGCCTGTCCTAGTGGCTCTGGGTGGCGCAAGTGTCCTACCTGGGTTGGGGGAAGCCTGGACTGCAAGAAGAGAGAGGGCAGCTGGCCAGGTCTGGCTGCGGAAGGTTATGGGGCTCTGCTCCCTGGCAGAGAGTGAGGCTGGGGAGGCCAAGGTGTTTCCTGGAGGTGGTGGAACTGAGCTTGAAGCGTGGGTGGGGTTTCAGAGGCTGAGGGGGCATCCCAAGTCGGGGAACAGCCTGAGCAGAAACCCTGAGGATTCAAGCAGGAATAGACCCGTCTGGCTGGTGGGAGGCAAGAGAGGGGAGGGTGGGTGGGAAAGGCCTTCTGGGCCTGTGGAGGCTGGTCCCTCCTCCACCTAATCCTTGGGAGGTGGTGACACCCTGCAGGAATCAGGAGGCCACCCCACACATATCTGCACACCCCTGGGGAAGAAGGCGCTGAGCTTGGTGGGGAAGGGCAGGCAGGGTAGGGCAGCTGGAGCCTGTCTCTACAACTGCAAGTTGAACCGCTGTGTGGCATCGACTCTCGGTGAGTGTGTACGTTACCAGGGCTTGGGGGGTGTGTGTCTGTGTGTGTGTCCATCCATGTCCCCAAGGCTGTGTTATGTGAGTGGGGTGGGGGTAGGGGTGAGGGGAGGCGTTGCTGGGCAGAGTCTAGCTGCCCCTGAGTGTGTGTGTAGGGCTCCTGGTGGGCTGGGGGGTAGGCTTCTCCAGAAAACCGACCTTGGGCTCTCACCCCCATGCCTTTACATGTGCGTGCACACACACCCTTCAGGGGACCCTGGGCCTACAGGAGGGAAGGCGGGAGGGCTGTTCAGAGCTCCTCTGTCCCCACTGCTCCCCGCCACCAGCCCCCGGGAGGGGCCAGGCCAGGCTCCTGGGGAGCGGAACAGGAGCTGAGTCTGGAGCCCACCCCTGCCTTTAGTGTGGGCGCCTGGAAGCCATTAGGGGCCGGGGTGGCGCCTGCCCTGCCCCTGCGCAACAGGCTTGGGATTCCTGGAAGGAGTGGGCCACCCCTCCCTGCCAAGCCCCATGCCAGGCCTGGCAGCTCCCAGAGTGTCAGAGAGAATGTGGCAGTGGCCACCCCCCCGCCACCCTCTCAGTTTAGGGGCTGCAGGACGGGCCCAGCAGACAGGGGCCTGGCCCTGAGCACCCCCTCCTCACTACCCCCTGTCCCCCGTTCCCAGCACAGCTCTGGTGGGGCTGCCTGGGCTGCCTGCCGGGCTGGCACTCAGATTTCCTGCCTCCTTCCCCTCCCCCGTAGGCTCTCACATTGTTTTTCTTTTCCAAGAGCTTCTCCATGTGGAGCTGGGCCAGGAAAATGGGGCGAGGAGGAGTGTGCGTGTCCGTGTATGTGTTCGTGTGTATATGCTTGTCTTAGGGATGAATATGTATCTTTGCATGTCTCTGTATCCATCTTTGTGGGCATGTATATGTCTTCAGGTGTGTCTGTAACTCTGTATCTACAAGTGAGCGTCTCTCTCTGCATACATATAGTTGTGTGTGCATATGGGGCCATTTCTGAGTGTGTGTGCGTCTGCCCGTGTCTCTGTATCTATATTTACATGTATGGGATTGCTTGTGTCTGCAGATGTGTGTCTGGGTGTGCACATGTCTGTGAACGCACATGGAATCTAGGCCAGCCACCTCATTGCACAGTTGGAGAGAGTGAGTCACAGTGGGCACTCAGCCTTCCAGGGATCCCGTGGGGAGTCAGGGGTGTACAGGGACCTGGAACCTAGGTCTGTATGGCTGTGTCTGTGTATATAACTTTGTGCAATTGTTACTGGGGTTGATACATGCATGTTTGTGTGTCTGGAACTATGGGTGGTGACAAGGCATCACCAGTTACTCATGTCCCAAACTTGGATGATTAAAATGCAAATTCCCAGCCCCACACCTACTGAACATGATTCTCTGGGGGGTGAGGCCCAGGAACTGCATTTTAAGCAAGTGTCCAGGTGAATCTGAAAGACTCCTTGATCTAGAAGCACTGGCCTCCCTCACCTCTCACCCCAGTTCTACAGGCGGAGAAACTGAGGCCCAGTATATGGGGCAGTGGTTTACATGAGGTTGGTGACAGAGCTGGGCCCAGAGCTGGTGCCTGGTGAAGGCAGACAGTAAACAAACAGCAAATGCACTAGAGAAATGTAGTAGGATCACTGATCAACGCTGAGGAACTATGACACTGATGGTTGTGAGTTGAAACTGACACTGGTCCACACAGTGGTGTAAAACCTGCGATGCCTGGTTATATGGGTGAGGGCAGGAGCAGGCAGAGCGGTGGAGGCGACCAGGGTTGGCGTTGCCTGAGAGACAAGAACAGGTGAGACAGCTGGGGCACTCAGGGCGTTTGTGAGGACGAGGTTGCGACCGTGGCACGTAGCAAGGAGAGAAGGGACGGGGTGGGCAGTGGGGACACTGAACAGGCGAGGCGATCGGTAGGCTGTAGCTCCTTTGGAGATTGAAGAATTTTTGGTGTTGGATCCCTAGAGGGAGTGAGCTTGGAACTGACTCTTGAGAGAGGTCACAGCTATTGGTAATGACAAAGGTTGTGGCCACTGGCATGATCAGGTTTGTGTTTTTATTTTTTTTAATATAAATTTATTTATTTATTTTTGGCTGCGTTGGGTCTTCGTTGGTGCACAGGCTTCTCATTGCGGTGGCTTCTCTTGTCGCGGAGCACGGGCTGTAGGCACGCAGGCTTCAGTAGTTGCGGCACGTGGGCTCAGTAGTTGTGGCTCACGGGCTTAGTTGCTCCGCGGCATGTGGGATCTTCCCGGACCAGGGCTCGAACCCGTGTTCCCTGCATTGGCATCGGATTCTTAACCAGTGCGCCACCAGAGAAGTCCCAGGTTTGTTTTTTTAGAAACTCACTCTGGCTGCTGCTCTTGAGAATGGATTTGAAGAAGGCAAAAGGGGGCAGGGAGATGGGGCGGGGAGGGCGGTGGCTGCAGTCTCCCAGGTGGGAGATGATGGTGGTGGCCTTGACAGGTTAGTGGCTGAGGAGGAAGAAGGTGGATAGATCCACGCGATGTGTGGCAGACAGACTGACATGACTTGGAGGTGGGGAGAAAGCAGACTCCAGGGTGTTCCCACAGCGTGAAGGAGTAAGGAAATGCTCTTCCCCCAGAGGGGACATCCAGAAGGAGGATCCAGTAGTGGGGAGAGTGGAGACGGTGGATCCCATCCGACCAAGCTGAGTCTGAGTTGTCTGAGAGACATGCTGGTGGTTTGGGCGATTCTGGAGGGCAGCCTGGGGTGGAGAGAGAGATTCAGGGTTATTGAGGACATGGCGAGGTGGCTCAGGCAGGGGCAGCCAGAGAGGAGAAGGGGGCAAGGACTGGATGACACCAGCACCTTCCAGGGAAGGTGGTGGGGAACAGCTGGAGAAGAGGAGGAAAACCCGGAGAGCATCCTGGGAGAGAGCGATGCAAGAAGGGAGGGCTGGAAGGTGCCCAGAGCTAGAGAGGGCACACCTGGGAGGGCTAGGATGTGCCCAGTGGGTAGGGCAGGGGAGCCGGAAGCCAGCCCGGCAAGGCCTGATGAGAGAGAGAGAGGGAGGTGGGCAGGGTGGAGACAGCAAGTGTGGACCCCTCTGCATGGGCCTTGAAAGGGAGGAGACAGAGAAGTGAGGTGAAAGTGCCAGGAGAGACTTCAGCAGGTGGGGAAGGCCCCCTGGAGAGGGATCATTGGCGGGGTGGGAGAAGCCGGATGTGGGAGGACCTTTGACCCAAGGAGGGAGAGCCCCTCTGTCCTCTTAGGGGCAGAGAGGAGGGGGCCGTGGGGCTTGGGGCAGGACAGGGAGGGAACTCTGACATTGGATCACCTGCCAAGAGTGAGGGGCTTAGAGGCCAGAGGAGGGTGAAGAGGGGACACAGAGCGTTGGCCAGACAGTGTTGGGACACTGTTCCAGATTGCTGAGAGCCCCACCAGCAGTGCCCTGATGGGTCCCTGAAAAAAGGAAGAGATGGCAATGAGGGCAGGGCCTTAGGGGACTAGGTGAGGATCTGTGGGACAGGCCCGGCTGAATGGGGAAGGAAGTATGAGATGCCCCGAGGGGCTGCTCCTGGAGGTCAGCACAGAGCCACGTGGAGGGAGAGCGTGGCAGGTTGGGGATAGAGAGGGGCATGTGTCTCACTTATTTTAAAGGGGACGCGGCCCGTGAACAGCAGAGCTCAGCGGCAGGCATGGGGGGCACCTCACCACACCGCACGGCCACCATCTAGACACCAGCTTATTTCTGTCGTACCACCAGTGCGTGCAGGTGTTCACCAAACCTGCCCCAGTGTTTGCGTTTGGACTTCTGGATGCTGTATCTGGATTAACTCCAGGGCTTAACTTTGCTGAGTCTCCCTTTCCTCTTCAGTAAATGTCTATAATTTCCCCCAACTCTGTTGAGAGGATAGTTCACATAGCCGTGGTGCCTGGGCCTCCATAAATGTCACTGTCATTGTCATCAGTGCTGGGACAAAGACCAGGAGCCAGCCCCTGCCCTCAGTAAACTCACAGCCTGGGGTCAGGATGGGGAGCACACAGGGACGCAGATAAGTGGTACAGTGAGATTGGCTAGTGGAGACATGGGCTGGGGCTGACCACCTGGCCTGAGGGGGTCCGGGAAAACTTCTTGAAGAAGGTGATATCTCAGATAAGTTTTAAGGATGAGAAGCGTTAGCCCAGTGCAGGAAGAGGCTGGGAGGGGACTCCTGGCGGCAGGGCCAGCATGGAAGCATGCAGCATTCCGGGCGGAGAGAGAATAGTATAAGCCATTCACTGTGTGAGATGGGACCTGAAGGTCAGGGACAGCAGATCAATCAAGGTTTCAGATCAGCTGCGGCTGCTGCAGGGTGAAGGGACTCAAGGAGGGAGTCTGGAGGCCAGTGAGGAAGCGGTTGCAGGCCCTTGCTCACCATTCCAGCCTCACTGGGGCTTCTGGAGGTGACCATTTTCACTCCTCCCACCTTTGCCCATGCTGTTCCCTCTGCCGGTTACTCCCTTCCCATGGCTGAGCTTAAGGATATGGACGGATGGTAACTACCTCCTCATAATGGTTGTGTTCTCCCACAGGTTGGAGGAGGCGTCCCCCGCCCCGTGGCCGGGAGAGCAAAGGGTAGCAGTGGCCATCATGCACAGTGGTATGGCGTCCGCCGCGCGCACCGCGCGCCGCCTCTGAGTCTGGGAGTTCCAGCCCAGGGCCCGAGAGCCTGCCCGCCCCCGCGGCCACACCATGAGCCACGGGCCGAGCCCTCGGTTGGCCGAGTCCCCGCAGCTGTCCAAAGGCAGCCTCCTGACCATCTTGGGCAGCCCGTCGCCCGAGCGCATGGGGCCGGCCGACTCGCTGCCGCCCACGCCGCCGAGCGGCACGCCCTCGCCCGGGCCGCCTCCAGCTCTGCCGCTGCCGCCGGCGCCCGCGCTGCTGGCCGACGGGGACTGGGAGAGCCGTGAGGAGCTGCGGCTGCGGGAGTTGGAGGAGGCGCGCGCGCGGGCGGCGCAGATGGAGAAGACCATGCGCTGGTGGTCGGACTGCACGGCCAACTGGCGCGAGAAGTGGAGCAAGGTGCGCGCCGAGCGCAACCGCGCGCGCGAGGAGGTGCGCCAGCTGCGCCAGCGTCTCGACGCGCTCACCAAGGAGCTGGCGGGCGCGCGGCGCGAGCGCCAGGAGGCGCAGGGCGAGTGCGAGGCGCGGGGCCGCGAGCTGGCGCGGCTGCGGGGCGCCCGGGGGGTCATGGACAGGACGCCTGACGGTCCCGAGACCGAGCCAGAGAGGGAGCAGGAGCCAGTGCGCGACGTCGGGTCGGAGAGACCCCAGGGCAGCCAGGTGCGCGGCGGGGCGGCGGGACTTACCCAGTTGCGCGGCGGGGGGGGCGGGGCCGATGGGCGGGCCTTCGCGCTGGAGTTTAGAAGTGGGAGGGGCTGATTGACTCGGGCAGAAGAGGTGGCCGCCTGGCTTAGAAAGAGGGGTAGTATGGGCCGGGCCCGGGTAGGGCCCGCAGGGAGGTTTCACTCCTTCAGGGGGTCGGGCTCTGCACTGCAGGGCCCCAGGTTACCTCCCAGAGACCGCCCGAAGAGCAGAGAGTCCCCGGTTCTGGTGGTCCCTCCACCCCCACACCTGAGTAGTCAACAGAACCAAGAAATCATCCTCTTTGAGCAGGAGCAGGTTCTAAGCACTTACCTGGAAGACATCCATTAGTAGCAGAGCTGAATCCATTGATTCGTTCAATTTGAATTTAGGGGAAGGGGGAGACATTTATAAGAGGTGTCAATCAGAGCTGAGGGGTGGGGTGTTATCAGGGCAGTGGGAGCACAGAGGAGGTCCCAGATCCAGGCTTTGAGGAGGGGGCTGCACAGAAGCTTTTCTGGAAGCAGTCCATTTAAGCTGAGACTAGAAGGATGCGGAGGAATTGGCTGTGAAAAGTACAGGAATGCATTCCAGGTGATGGAAATTCTGTGCAAAAACCTAGAGGCTGAGAGTGCCTGGTGAGTTTGGGAAATGGCATCCATGGTTCGATGGGCACCTCCACAGGGCGCTAGGCTCTGCACGTGCATTGTCTGCTTAATTCTCAGAGCAACCCCAGGAAGTATTTCCTTTACAAACGAGAACACTGAGGCGTTGAGAGGTTAAGTACCAATGGCTCCCAGCTGGTAACTAGAGTCACTGGGAGTTGCCCCCAGGTGAACTCCAGAGCCCATGGTGATAATAATCAATACATCTGGAATATTAATGGTGTGTGTGGAGGGCAGCCTCCCCTGAACCAGCAGGCCTGTCACCAGAAGGCCGTCTAGGGACAGGGTCCAGCCTCAGGTTGCTCCCAGCTCCGTCCCCAGGCAGGCCAGCTCCTCTAGCTGAGGTTCTTGGCTGCCCCCCTCCTCTCCTGCCTGTGGGCTAGAGTGGGCACTGCTGCCTCCTGGTGGCTGAAGCCCCTCTTCCCCAGGCCTGCATGGTGTTTGCAGTTGGGGCAGGGAATGAGAGCCCTTGTATACCAGCCAGCCTCACGGCCTTATTCCTGTTCTCTCCTCCTTCTGGTTATGAGTCACAGTCGACCGGGTGGCAGGTACCAGCGGTGGGAGCTCCGGAGTTGCAGTCTGAGTTTGCTCTCCAGCCCAGCCCTGTCCTCTGTGACCCACAGCAAGTCCCTTCTTCCCTCCCTGTTTCCTCATTTGTGAATTGGAATTGTGAATTTGGACCAGGTGGCATCAGAGGCCCCACCCAGACAGTCTGAGATACAAGAGGAGTAGAATCTCGCTCCTCGGGGGGCCTCAGGGCCACTGTCCCAGTCTAGATAGGGAAACCAAGGGCCAGTCAGGGAAGGGGCTGGCCCAGACTCATCTGGAAAGGCTGTGGGAAGAGCCAGGCTGTAACCGAGGCCATGGGCGTCTTGGGTCTATAGTCAGAGGTAGGCCAGGGGGCAGACAAGGGCAAAGGGGAGGGGGAGCCTGGCAGGGAGGAAGAGGCCTCAGTTGAGTTAATAATCCCTCACTGCTTGCTATCTGGGAGCTGGTTCTGCTCGCAGAGGCCACCCACCTTCCTATGCATCTTTCACCGCTTCACTTCCCACGTTTCAGGTGTTTGCACCTGAAAAACGGGATCTTCGAGTGGGAATTCCTTTTGAGGGAATCTAGTCTTTATTCGTTGTAGGAACCCCTGCTTCTACATACATTCACACCAGCGTCCCACCAAATGTGTGCATACTTCCACTGACAAGGAGCTTAGCACGTATTCTGGGGACTCTTCCAGGATTCAGGGAACCTTAGTGGCTGACTCTGTGCACTTCTAGGCAGTGCAGGGAGAGGGTGTGTCCCTCCCTTTCCAGGGGTGGAGAAGCAGGCAGCAGAAGAGGAAACTGGGGTCTAGAAGGACTGTGTGACTTGCCCAAGGTTACCCACCAAGCTGATGCCAGACCCTGGGCCTAGGAGAGGCCACGATGAAGGCCAAGAGGGTGAGGACTCAGCGACCACTGACCCAGCCTCCGCCTTGGACCCCACAGGAGCTGGAGCTGGTGGAGGGCCTGCTGAAGAGCAGACCAGAGGAGCCTGAGGGCTGCTGGGAGGCACGCAGCGTAGGGGCTGGGGCCTCACGGGGCAGCTCGGGCCGCCAGGAGCGTAGCCGACTGCCCTGGGAGGACACCGCCACCATCCAGGAGGATGCCTCCAAGTTGACTGCCCTGCGGCTACGGCTGGATGAGTCCCAGAAGGTGCTGCTCAAGGAGCGAGAGTAAGTCGCGGGAGGCAGGCAGGGGCCGGGGGCCGGGCCAGGCCACTCCAGGGCATCCTCAGAATCACAGAGTGAAAATCCGTGTCTCAGAAGGTGAGATTCACTGAAGCGGAATGGTACTGTTTCAGTCTTGGGACTTTAGAACAGTGGTACTCTGCCCAAGGACACAGTGTGAGTTTTTTGTTTTTTGGGTTTTTTTAAATTAATTCAAATAATATGTGTTGGGTATCGGGGTCAGGCTTTGCTCAGCAGTGAGGATACAGCCATTAGTAAGGCCAGAAATCCCTGCCTTCATTGGGGGAGAGTGCCATGGGCAAAAATAAAAGCAGGGAAGAAGGGATAGGGAGGTTGGGGGGTTGTAGCTGGGAATTTGGCTTTGAGATGAGTTTGTTGAGTTTGAGATGGCACGGAGGCAGTTGGGGACATGAATGAATCTGGAGTTTGTGAGACGGGTCTGGGCTGGAGTCATTGGCAAATAGATGATACTGAAAGCCGTGAGCTGGGGTGAGAGTGGATAGGGAGGTGGCCAGAGGATGGGGCCCTGAAGCTGACCAAGTTTAGAAGAAGAGGGAAGCAGCAAAGGAGACAGGAGAAGGGAGCCAGTGGGGGGCAGAGAAAGCAGGAGAAACTCTGTCACGGAGGAGGGAGTGATCAGCTAGTCAAGTAGGAAGAGGACTGAGCACTGACCAGTGGATTTAGGACGTGGAGGTCACCAGTTACCTTGATCGGGGCACAAGCCCGATTATGATGAATATTTTGTAACACCCTCTTTTCTGTCCAGAAATTAAATACAAAGATAGTTTAACTTAACTACACCCAGAAGTCTTTTAAAAATCAACATAATGCCCTTGTGAAGATAGAGGCAGAGATAAGGGTGATGCTCCTGTAAGCCAAGGAACACCAGAAATTGCCAGCAAACCACCAGAAAGCCAGGGGAGAGGCATAGAACAGATTTCCTCTCACACCCCTCACATGGAACCAACCCTGCCAACACCTCGGTCTTAGACTTGGAGCCTCCAGAACTATGAGACAATACATCTTTTTAAGCAAAACAAACAAAAATCAACCTATTGTACAAACTGAAATGTAAAGAAATACTAGACTTTCAGAATGGGAGACCAGCACGGTGTGGGGTTGGTCGTAAAGCACTGTGTGCTGGGGCCAGATACCATGCTTGTTACCCACAGCGCCTCCTTCATGTTCAGGACAGAGTGCAGGGTGGTGGTCACGAGAACACACTGGGACTGCCACCCCGTGCTGATGACAAGAGGGGACCCGTCCTTCAGAGAGTCACTGGACAGTGTTTTCCAGGTTTTCCAACTGCAAAGCTGTGTGTCTACATAAAACAGATAGGAAGAAATAGGGGTCTCATTTGGCAGATGAGCCCAGGGCCCAGTGCCCTGGAGGCCCGGTCACGCCACACTGGGAGCTGGGCACCTGTAGCTGTGCAGAGGGTGGAGCTCCAGAAGAAATGCAAAACCAGGGTGCCTGCCGCAGAGTGGGGTGCCAGGGCCTTGAATGCAGAGGCAAGCACTTTGGACATGGGATTGACAGGTGCAGACTACATAGGAGGACTCAGCGGAGGGCCCCGGTGGACTCACCCCCATTTATCCCTCCCTCTCCCCTCCCCAGGGATAAAATGGCACTGAGCAGGAACATTGAGAAGCTGGAGGGGGAGCTCAGCCAGTGGAAGATCAAGTATGAGGAGCTGAGCAAGACCAAGCAGGAGATGCTCAAGCAAGTGAGTCCTGGAGACCACAGGGGCTTCCTGGAGGAAGCAGTGCTGCACTGACGAATTTCAGCAGAAGGAATGGAAGAAAGAAGGGAATTCATTCATTCACTGTCAAGCACCAGCCGTGTGCCATGCAGTGTTCTGAGTACTGGGGCAGGCAATGTCCTTACCTTTAGGAGCTCACCTTAGCGGGGGCCGTGGTGAGGGAGACCAACAGTAAGCAGATAGATAAATTCAGAAGCTGTGAAAGAGTCAAAACACAATCAGAGAAATGAGGTGGTGGGTCATTGAAAGAAAGGCTTCTCTAAGAGGGTGACGTTTGAGGCAAGAGCTAAAGTGATTAGAAGAAGCCACCCTTGAGAGGAGATAGGGGCAAAGTTCCTGGCAGAAGGTACAGCAAATGCAAAGGTCCTGAGGCCAGAACAAGCCTAGTGTGTTCAGGAAATAGAGGCCAGTGTGGCTGGAGGATAGTTAAGTGAGAGATGAGATTGCAAGGGGAGCTAAATCCCATAGGCCTTGTAGACCAAGATGAAGGGGAAGAGTCTGGACGTTCACTGGGCACATAGTGGGTGCGAAATCTCGCTGGAGCCTCACAGCAGTCAGGAAATCTGGGTCCTGATGTCCCCATCTTACAAATGAGGAAATTGAAGCTCCAGCTGGCAGAGAGGGGATTCCACCACTGCATTCTGGGGACTCAGGGCAGGCAGGGGTCAGGCTGGGCTTCCCTTACTGCTTCCTGTGCAGGCCCTGATGGCCACCAGGGGGCGCAGCCACCCACGGAAAGCTGGGCTGGATCCCTTACTTTTCCAGAACGCGGGAGGTTCACAGACCTCAGAGCCTGAAACTGTCCTGGAAAACCGGTCTTAAAGTAGAATCTCTTTAAGGAATCTCCTAAAATAGAGCTTCCCAGACGTCACCCTCATCCTCCTGAGTCAGCATCTTTGGGGGTTGGGTCCAAGAATCTTGTCTTTTTAATCTTTTCAAATTGTGTAATCTTTTGAAGAAAAGTGAGTAAGACACAACTGTGCAGATTTACAGATACATAATTATAAAGATTCTCATTTGTATCAGGCTTTCTTCCCTCAACATTCCATATTTAAGGCTCATCCATGCCGTTGCAAAGAGCATTCATCTGGCAGTTGTCCCTGCTGTACAACAGTGAATCTGCACTATTTTAAAAGCACCCCAGGTGATTCTCATGTGCAACCCCACACCCACAGGCAGACCCGGATTCAGATCCACTGGGTGCGTTCAGCCAGTGTTCACTGCCCTGGGCCCAGGCCATACAGGGATACAAAGGCGGGCAGACAGACACGCTGTCTGTCCTCCCGAGCTCACATTCTTGGGGGGACGGGGGCGTGGAGAAGTACCCCTTCTAGGCAGGGAGGACAGGAGAGGCCTCCCTGAGGAGGGAGCATTTAGGCCAAGACCTGAGAATGAGAAAAGTCAGCCCTTCAAGATACCTCAGAACGGGGGCACCAGGCAGAGGGAGCCACACGTGTGAAGGCTGCAGTGGACAGGAACTTGTGTATTTGAGGACTAGGGAGGAGACCGAGGTGCCCAGAGCACAGAGAGCTCAAGGGAGAGAGGTGGGAGATGCGGTCGAGGGGAGACGGGTAGGGGTCCAATCGTGCAGGGCTTTATGGGACCATAGGGAGGGGTCAGTTTTTAATCTTTTTTTTTTAAATTTTATTATTTATTTTGGCTGCACTGGGTCTTCGTTTCTGCGCACGGGCTTTCTCTAGTTGCAGCGAGCGGGGGCTACTCTTCGTTGCGGTGCGCGGGCTTCTCACTGCAGTGGTTTCTCTTGTTGCAGGGTGTGGTCTCTAGGTGCACGGGCTTCAGTAGTTGTGGCACGCGGGCTCAGTAGTTGTGGCTGGCTGGCTTTAGAGCGCAGGCTCAGTAGTTGTGGCACGTGGGTTCAGTAGTTGCGGCATGTGCGATCTTCCCGGACCAGGGCTCGAACCGATGTCCCCTGCATTGGCAGGCAGATTCTTAACCACTGCACTACCAGGGAAATCCGTCAGTTTTTATCTTAAGGAACCTGGGAATGGAGATATGATTGGGTTTATCTTTTTTATTTTTATTTATTTTTTGGCCACGTCGCATAGCTTGCAGGATCTTAGTTCCCCAACTGGGGATTGAATTGGAGCCCCCTGCAGTGGAAGTGCCGAGTCCTAACCGCTGGACCGTTAGGGAATTCCCCTGGGTTTATCTTTTTTTTTTTTTTTTAACAATTACTTGTTTTTAATTAGGTAATCCACTCATCTGTTTTCCTCTCACTGCAGTTTTCTGCATTTTTAGCCTCTTTTCTCTTCATTAGCTACCAGAATGTGCTTTCATAAAGGCTCAGCAGTGGCAGAAGACAGAAAACTCATCTGGGATTTTTCTGCTGTGACTTGTTTTTTTTTTTTTCTTTTTTTTTTTTTTTGCGGTACACGGGCCTCTCGCTGTTGTGGCCTCTCCCGTTGCGGAGCACAGGCTTGGGATGCGCAGGCTCAGCGGCCATGGCTCACGGGCCCAGCCGCTCTGCGGCATGTGGGATCTTCCAGGACCAGGGCACGAGCCCGCGTCCCCTGCATCGTCAGGCGGACTCTCAACCACTGCGCCACCAGGGAAGCCCAGTTTATCTTTTTTAAAAGCTCCTCCTGGGCTGTTGTGGTGGAAAATGGGTTGACTGGGGAGATGAGGGGCAAGAGTGGACACTGGGAGGCTAGATGGTAATGAGGTAGGAGGTGAGAGATGTCAGAAGAGGCAGAAGTGGTCAAATTTGGGGTCTGTTCTAGATACCTGGCAGCCCATTTGGGCACCACCTCAGGCTCCTTGCTGAGCCCTTATGACCAGTGCCCACCCACCAGGGCTGGTGGTCCTCACCTCACCAGGCTGTGCTGTATCATGCAGCTCAGCATCCTGAAGGAGACCCACCAGGACGAGCTGGGCCGCATGTCCGAAGACCTGGAGGACGAGCTGGGTGCACGCTCCAGCATGGACAGGAAGATGGCGGAGCTGAGGGGCGAGGTGAGGCCACTGGGAGCGCCTGGGACTCGGGGGACCAGGGGCCCTGCCACCATCAGTCATTCACGTAGAAGAGGGCAGGAACCAGGCCTGTACACTAAGGGGGAACCAGCCACACCCCGAGGGTGCTCCAGTCTGCAGGGGGTGGGCCTCTCTCCCACACAGAGGCTAGAAGCGCCCTCACATCCTGCACACCGTGAAATAAGCTCGGGTTAATTATAGCCGCTGCAGCTGGACCTGCTTCCTGGAGCCAAAAAAACGGCTGCAGGAGGAGGTGGGAAGGGGGAGCCTCCAGCTCTGGCCTTCCGCGCCCCCTCCCTGTGGACCCCTCCCCCTGTCCTGCCCTGTTGCAGATGGAGCGGCTGCAGGCGGAGAACGCAGCCGAGTGGGGTCGCCGTGAGCGGCTGGAGACAGAGAAGCTGGGCCTAGAGCGTGAGAACAAGAAGCTGAGGGCACAGGTCGGGGACCTGGAGGAGGCGCTGGCCCGGCGGCGGCGGCAAACAGCCAGCGTGCTGGACTGCGACCTGCGGGCCAGCCAGGCTGCGCTCTTCGAGAAGAACAAGGTGGGGCAGTGGGTGGCGCGGCCAGGGCTGGGGCAGAGAGCCTCCTGGGTGTCCAGCTCCAACCCGCAGGGGGCCAGGGACCGTTGAAGTGACAACTACGGACAGAGGTCGTGGTCGCCACAGCCGCGGCTCCTGCCCGGCGCCCGCTGTGGGCCAGGCTAAGTGATATCATAGTAGCTGCATTTATGGGGCACCACTGTGGGCCAGGCCCTGTGCCGGTGCTTTTTGTTCATGATAACACTTAATCCTCTCAACAGCCCTTTTATTAACCCAACAAATGTTTACTGAGCACCGTGTGTAAGCCTTGTTCTAGGTGCTGGGGACACAGCAGTGAACGGACAGGAGGGACGTGGCCTCCCCTCGTGGAGCTGGTGGCTCAGGGGAATGCAGGTGTTTTTCCCTCCCTCACACACTCACGCTGGTCACACAGCTCTGTGGCTGGGCAGGAAAAGGGAAGAGGGAATACCAGGGGAGCTGGCTTAGGCCCAGGTCATGGGGAGACTTCCCTGAGGTAGTGACATTTGAGCCCAGGTCTCAAGCGAAAGCAGGTATTGACTGGTAGTGAACTGATTCCGGGAGAGAATTCGGAAATACTGTGAATGAACGTCCCATGGTGCCAGGGACATGGAACTTTGGAGGAGCAGGGTGGCCGGTGTGGCTGGAGGGCAGTGGGCACGAAGGACGTGGTAGGTGAGGCAGGAGCTCAGGGCCACCTTTGAAGAGTGAGAGGTAGGTGCAAGCAGGTTGTGGTTCTCAGTGCTCACTGGCTGCTGTGTGGAAGGCGGATAGGAAGGCAAGCCGGTGGGGAGTCTGTCGCCGTTTCCTGGGGCAGCGGGAGATGATGGCGGCCAGGACCAGGCTCAGGTTGGTGGAGGTGGAACAAAGAGGATGGATTCAAGAGACCTTTAGGTAGTTCCTGTCTCCATTTCATGGATGCGAAAACTGAGGCTCAGAGAAATCACAGAGCTCAGGGGTGGGCAGCTCCTCTCCTGGCTGCCCATCCCCTTCCCAGCCACTCTGGCTTCTGATCTCTTTTCTTCCAACACCCACTCCCCATCTTAGCTCATCTCCAGACCCAGGGCTTTAATGCCATTTACACACCAAAGAATCCCGACTTCACCCCTCCCCAGAAAACATGACTCAGCTCAAGTAGGCTGCTGGACACCTCCATGTCATCTCCTGCAGGCGCCCCAGAGTTACATGTCCAGAATGGAGCCACCAGTTCCACCCACCTCTTCCCTCATTGCCCCGCATGCCTTCTCACCTCACTAGACGGCACCTCTAGCCTCCAGCTGCTCAGCCAGCTCTAGTACTGGTATTTTAGACAGCAGATGGAGAGACTCCAGGCAAGAGAGACACCGGCACCCCTGGAACTGCCTGGCCTCATGGGACTCCCCCAACCTCTGCCCCGCTGCAGGAGCTGGCAGACCTGAAGCATGCGCACGGCAAGCAGAGGAAGCAATTCCAGGAGAAGGCGGCCGAGCTGGCACACGCCGGCCGGCGGGTGGAGCAGCTCGAGGCAGAGGTTAAGAAGCTGCGGCTGCGGGTGGAGGAGCTCAAGCAGGAGCTGGCCCGGGCCGAGGACGAGGTGCGCGCCTGCTGGGGCCCAGAGCACAGCCTGCACACCTCAGCTGGGGCAGGTGGGAGTGGGGCCGCAGGGCCTCCTGTGTCGGTCCGTGCTGGGCCCCCTGGCACAAGCCTGACTCTCAAGAGGGACCCAGGATAGAGCAGGTGGGTGGGTGACAGATGGTGTGTGGGTAGGAGGATGGGAAGGAAAATGGACAGACAAGGTGGATAAGTGGTTGAATAGATTAACGGATGGATGAGTGGGTGGTTAAATAGAAGGACAGAAGGATAACTCCATGGATGGATGAACAGATGGATGAGGGGACAGGTGGACAGATGGATGGGAGAGGGAGAGAGGAGAGATGGATGAGATGTAACAACAGATGTCTGATGGGTGATTGGTTGGATGGATGGATATATGGAAAGATGGGTGACTGAGTGGATAGTGGAAAGATGGACAGACAGCTGACTGGGTCAGTGGGTGGAAGAATGAATGGAGAGGGAAAGAAGGACAGAAGGATGGAAGGACACAAGGGTAGGGTGAATGGGTGTCTGAAGAGATTAACGAACGGTGGGTGGTGGGTATCTCCCTGAGCAGATGGATATTTCCATGGATGAACGATCAGATGGACAGATTCATAGGGTAGGTAGGTTGATGGGTGGGTCAGTAGCTTGGGGCGTTAGAGGATGGGTAGATTTGGAAGGCAGGGGCAACAGGAAAGAAGAGAGGCGAAAGGGATGTTTCCCTGGAGGAGGTGGGCCTCAAAGGAGCGACAGGAATTGCTCTTGGGGAAGGTCATTCACACAGAGGAACAGCAGGAGTGGCTGGTCCCAAGCAGATGGCGGGGCAGAGGCTGGCGCAGCCCTGGGTGACTCCCACGCTCTTGGCCCTGCTCACCCCCCAGTTGGACGAGGCCCACAACCAGGCGCGTAAGCTGCAGCGGTCACTGGACGAGCAGACGGAGCAAAGCGAGAACCTGCAAGTGCAGCTGGAGCACGTGCAGTCCAGGTGGGCCCAGCGTGCAGCCCCTCTGGGCCTGGAGGACTCCTGGCTGGGGCTCAGAAACAGGGCAGAGGCGCTTCCAGCCGAGGGAAGCCAAGGGTCAGGGGTCAGGGTTGGAGCCCTGAGTGGGGCTAGTGGGGAAGACAGAAGGAAGAGATCTGGACGTCCTGGGGCCAGAATCCTGTCCCCTCCAGGCAGGAAGGGCCAGGGCCAGGAAACCAGGGAAGGGAGTGCAGGAAGTAAGACCAGCTGGGAGCCTTGGAATTGTGTCGTGCGTCCAGAGGATAGGAGGGGCGGCCAAAGAGGTGAGGCCCAACGTGGGGCAGCAGGGAGGGACAGTGGGTCTGGGGAGTCTTTGATAAGAAGAATGCGCAGGCTGGGGTGATCCTGAAGGACTGGAGGGCAGGGAACCACGGAGGAGCCCCGGCCTTGATGGTAGCCCCGACCCCCTCATCTGTAGACAGGACCCATCAGCCTCAGTGAGGGAGGACCAGAAGGTCTGGGGGACCCACCCGGCACACTCTGCATCCCTCCGCTGCCTCCCTCTCCATCACAACACCCTGTGAATGGCTCTCTCACCCGACTCCCCTCAGAGACATGAGATGACAGATAATATCTAGTCCAAGCCCCTCCCCATTTCAGAAGCCCCCACCTGAGACTGACTCTTCCTGTGCCGTACCTGGGGCAGGCCCATACCTGCATCCTCTTATTTCATGGAATAGACAGAGCCCAGGCTCTGCAGCAGGCTGCCTGGGTGGTTGGGAATTCTGGCTCTGCACTTAGTAGCCGTGTCATTTTGGGCCACTTACTTGACCTCTCTTGGTCAGAGTTTGCTCATCTGTAAAATGGGGCTGATAACAGTTTTCATTACCTCTTGGTTGTGGGAATTAAATGAGCTGATCTATGCTTAGAAAAGTACCTGGCACATAATAAATGCTAAATAGTAGCGGAGCTTTTGTATTTGGGTCAGATATTGTGCTATAAGAATCATGCTCCTATGAGAGAAGGAAAGGGAGAGATTTTTTTCCTAGGCGGCTGGCAGACGAGGAAACTAAGGCACGAGAGGGTAAGTCCTTCCACGGCTACACAGCTAGTGGGTGGTCAGGCCAGATCACCCCCCCACCATCTGCCGCCTGAGCCCTCATTTACAGAGCATGTACTATGTGTGCTGAGTTTCTGTGGCTTAGACTACAAGCTATGGAGGCAAACCTGTCAGCTGTGTGACCTGGCCAGCCGAGGCTCAGTTTCCCCAGCTGCCTGGGATGCTGCCTGTAAAGTGTTGTTCAGGGGCCCAGGCATGAGTCCAAGTCAGGCTCAGTGTCTGGCCAGCTCTGCCCCCTACAAGCTATGGAGGCAAACCTGTCAGCTGTGTGACCTGGCCAGCCGAGGCTCAGTTTCCCCAGCTGCCTGGGATGCTGCCTGTAAAGTGTTGTTCAGGGGCCCAGGCATGAGTCCAAGTCAGGCTCAGTGTCTGGCCAGCTCTGCCCCGCCACCCCACTGCGCCCCCCCCCCACCACGGCCCCACCCAGCACACACCCCTCCAAAGGCCGCCTAGCCTCAGGGCTCTCCCACAGTCTTGGCCACATTCTCTGGGAGCCATAAACTCCCAGAATGGGCAGGCAGGCTCTGCCCAGCCTCTCAAGTGCTTCCATCAGGGAGGGCGGGGCTGCCCGGGACCGCTGCCTCATTTTATTTCCCAACTTTTTGTGCTTTAATGTTCCGGGGACAGCTCACTAAATCACAGTGCAGTAATGGAGGCCCCCGCCTGTGCCCCTCCCTGCCGTGTTAATAATTCATGCCTTCCAGTAAGATGCAGCCTGGGCGGCTACTCCTCTGGGGGTGGGGTGCAGGGGAGCCAAGGGAAAGGGGGGATGGGCATTTCCTCCACCAGCTCTTCTTAGAGGGAAGTTTGCCTGGTACATTTTGGCTTTAGGAATTTTAATGTGGGGAAGAACTAGGGTGGAGCGCTTTCTCACTGACATTAAGGATGTAGGGGACTCAGAACCCACACCCCCAAACTCTCTCCCTATGGGCTTTGGAGCCTGGCTTGGGTTTGAATCCCAGCAGCATGACCTTGAGCCTGCTGCCTCACCTCTCTGAGCCCCTGGCCCACTCCATAGCCAGCCATCCAGCTCAGAGCCCAACACCTCTCACTGCTGTCTGTGGGACTTCAGGCAAATTACTCGACTGCTTTGTGCCTCAGTTTCCTTGTCTGTAAAATGGGGGTGACAGAAGCACCTCCCTCATTTCAGGGGCTTCCGGAGGATGAAGTGAGGTGAAGCAATGTTTGTAAAAGGCCCAGTCTGGTGCCTGGCAGCAGGGAGGCGCTAGGGGCGGCTTAGCTGCTGTCAGCACCAGCTGACCAGGCTCATCCCTGACCCACCTGTCACCCCACCCCACAGGCTCCGAAGGCAGCAGCAGAACGCCCCCCTCTTTGGAAAGATCCGCAGTGCTCGCTTTGGCGCGGAGGAGGCGGGGGACGGAGCCAGTGACCTGGACGAGGATGAGGACCTGCAGATCCAGGTGGCCTAGAGCTCCCAGGGCTGGGCAGGACTGGCCAGCAGCCCGGGCCCCCGGGTGCCCAGGCTGACCCGCCACTTGAACTGATGCAGCTACCTGTGCTCGCTCTGGGAGCAGATCACAGTCCCTGCCACAGATGACTTCCTTCTCTCCCACAGTGGGCATCGGTGGTCCCACCTTACCTACACTCTGTGAAAGGGAAGCCATGGCCTATGTTTTATATATATATATATATATATATATATATATAAAATATTTCTACTCTCAAGAGCTGGCTTTCTAATTGGAGAGATAGAAATCAGACAGATAAAGTGCTGATATCATTTCAAAACAAAAACTTCCCAAAACAATAGTTTAATCACTATTGGAGTCCTGAGGTAAGATTGAGTAGAAGAGATTGGAGTTAAACTAGATTGCAGAGCTCTTCATGGAGGAAGTACATGTGTAGCCTAGTTTTGAAGATTCAGTTGAGCAAGTATTGACAAAACAGCAGGCAATGATATATATATATATATATATATATATATATATATATATATATATATATATATATATATATATATATACACATGCCTGGGGTCCTTGGACCCATTTGGTTTTATAGACACAGGACCACTCTGAGGCCCACTCTAGGTGCCCCCCCACACACCCAGGACCTTCTTGCCGGGGGAGTGGGTGTCAAAGGAGGGCTGTTGGGGCCTCCACCCAGGCTGCCTCTCTGGGCCCTAGGGGTTGGGCGGGGACTGTGGCTGTTCATAGTACAATGTGATAAACCCAGTCTTTTGTAATAAATGGAGTTCAGGTTCCCGGGCTGGAGTCCTGAGAGTGTGGCAGATGTGGGCATGCAGTGTGGGGGACAGACAGGATCAGCCTACTCCTGACACCGAACCTGAGCTCAGGAATATTGATATTAAGTCACTTGAGTGACCTGATAAATGAATGAACGTGAGAAAGAATGAATGAATGAACACTGGAACTGCTGAATGGTCTGGAATCCAGCTCCTTTGAGGGGAAGGAAAAGGGATGGCGTATGTCAAATCTGGAGGAGACTTCAGTTCTGGCACCGGATGAATTCAAATCTCTGCCTCTTACTGGCTGTGCAACCTTGGGGAAGTTAATTGCCCTCTCTGAGCCTCAGTTTCTCCATCTATAAATTAGATGTCTCATAGAGCCATCAGGAGAATTCGGTGAGTTCATCTGGAGCTCAGTAAAGGTTAGTTATAATTGAAATACTTGAAGGTATGCCCTGGAGAGGGGGGCTTTGCCAGCTGGGTTCTGCCATAAGGGATGACGTTCAGACAACTGACTGGTGGGTGTTTACCCAGAGGTAGGTATGAACACAACAAATAATAAATCCTTTTATCATTCCCTTAGTCCTGCTCTAGGTAGTGAAATTATAGGTAATCTTATTTTTGATACTTAATTTCTAAACCTTCTATAACCAGCCAATTTATATTAAATCTGGTGGAAAAGGTTATTAAAAACACAGTAGCATATATTTTTGAATCTTCACAAGTTGAGGTGGCATTTGAGACACCTGCCCTTGATGGGAGTTTTACATGAATTCTTGGCACCAGGACCTGCTTTCTGCAGGAGGAGGCCCTCTCAGAACTGTTCTAGCATGCGGGCCGTGGCGAGTTCCCTGTGTTCAGAGGTGAGTACGGAGAGGCTGGGCTTGGATCAGGGGGCCTGGCACCAAAGAGGAGTTAAATTCAATTGATAGAAAAAAAAAATTGAATTGATAGAAGGGCTCCCTGCCCCGGAGTGGGCAGCTACACTAAAGGACTTCTCTCTTGTTGTGGCCCAGTCTGAGGGACCCCTGCGGCCGTGGGGCTGGGACCCAGTGGATGCCACAAGCCCTGGGGGCCGAGAGGAGGGGAGAGACAGGCCCATGAGCCCAGCAGGGGGTAATAAATATGGGCACCAAACATGTCATGTCCCCTGTTGCCAAACCTAAGCCAACCATGCTGGAGAGGTGGGCTTTGCTGTCATGGCAAAGAGGCCCAGGTCCCCTCCTGTGCCCTGAGGGGGAGAGGAGGGAGTGGGCAAGACCCAGCCACCAGGATCCACACCGCTACCCACCCCCGTGGGCCTTTCCTCACAAGCCAGGGCCAGCAGAAAAGGGAAAAGGCGCTGAGGGAAGAGGACCATTTCCTGCCGGGGGTGGGGGTGGGGGGGCCTGGGGGTGGTTCTTTCTGTTTTCTCTCCCAAACAGGAAGCAGGCCCTAGAAGAGGCTGAAAGTGCTGCCCTTTGACCCCCATGAGCCAGGATCCAGGCACTCACTGACAGCGGCCCTGAGAGCCGCCCCTGGGCCCCCAGGCGGACCTGCCATTCCCAGACACAGAGCAGAACGTCCGGCACGGCAGGCTCTCCCAGACTCCCTGGCACCTCCAGCGAGATAGTGTGGGGCAGGGGCCCCATTACAGCCCCTGTCTGCGGGCAGGGTCGCTCCTGAGAACATCAGAGAGGAGAGGGTCTGGCCTTCCGCCTCCAGTGTATGAGGGAGACCAGAAGCCTTGGGAGGGAAGCACAGCCGCAGGCACAGGGCTGGAAGATTCCCTGGGCCTGGAACTCTCGCTGCCTCCCTGCTCACAGCCCTTCCGTCCCGGTGGTCGTGAGAGCAACATCTGCCAACAGGAGCATCAGCTTTGGCTCCCGTGATGCTTTAAAAGCTGTATTTAATGCATTGCTAATGTTAATAATGGGAGGTTTTCTCACAAAAAATGTGGGTTTCCCCCTCTTGAGAAATCAGCACCTCAGACCATGCTGGGCTCACACTCCTGCGTGGCTGCAGCTGCAGGGCTGAGGCACGTGCTCTCCGGAAGGGGGCACAGCCACCCGGTGAGCCACAGTCCCCACCGCTCCCTGCAGCCTTACCTGCACCCTCCTCGTCTCCATTACCGCCTGGCCCCCGAGGCGTGTGAGTGCCCTTCCTCTGGCCTAGTCCAGTCTTTCTTTGAACAGGTGAGGAAATTGAGTGGCTGAGAGGGGCGGCCCTGGCCAAAGTCGGTGGGAAGTGTAGCCAGGCCAAGTATACGTGTCATTCTTGGGATCAGAACTCCTGCAGGCTTCTTGTCACCACAGGGGTGACTGCCGAGAACAGGTAACATGTATTGAGCCACGCCATGTGCTTTACCGTCTTGTGAGGCAGGCACTCCCGTGGTCATCTCTCTTGACACCAAGGATGCAGAGGCTCGGAGGAAGCAAGTGACTATCCCAAGCCCACACAGCTGGTTGGTGGTGACCCTGGCATTCCAGGTCAGGCAACCTGAGGCCAGAGCCCACACTCCTGGTTACGCCCCCCTTCCCCCAGCCCTCCAAGGCAAGGCCCCGAATGGTGCAGCCCCTGCCCTCGGCAGCCCCACTCCACTCAGCAGACCCTGCAGCTCCAGCCACGTTGAACTCTTCTCCTACCACCCAGAATTGCCCCTTCCCTGTCAGAGTCCCACCAGCCCCTCAAAGCTCAGCCTACTTGGTTCATTCTTAGAGTGTTAGTGGGTTGTGTACCTGTCTGCTTCTCCCACCCCGACAGATGCTCCTGGAGGGCAGAGAGTCCTTCCAGCAGCCAGCACAGTGCCCTAGGCCTAGAGAACATCTTTAAGGGAGGGGAAGAATGATGGCTGGGTGGATGAGACGGTGGAAGGCCGAAGCCAGAAGCACCCCCCACCCCTGACTCCAGCTTCACTGCAGTACGTGCAGGACCAGTCCTAGGTATCTTTCTGCTGGTCAGCTGAGAAGTCTCCCAGGCACTGAAAGCCACAGCAGTGCAGGGGCAGCAGTGCCAGGGCCTCTTCTCACAGGCCCGGAGTGCCGGGACAAGCTGCAGAACCTGCTGGGCCAGACACTGTCCCACCCGGCCCCTCCTCCCCCTGCAGCATGAGGCTGGGGCCCCTGGAGTCTGTCCTCTGAAGACTTGGCCTCCCCTTGCTCTCCAGCCAAGTTTGTTTTGCCCCTACCAGCCAGCCCCTAGGGATCCCTGCCCGGAAATTTATGCCCAGGAGTGAGTCCCCACGCCCCAGCCCTTCAGGCAAGCTTGGCTTCTAGATCCAGCTGCTTTCTGATTGGCTGTGTGTCTTCTGGCAATCTCCTGTCCCTCTCTGGGCTTTCATTTCCTTATCTGTAAAATGGGGACAGTAGCAACTGGATTCTCCAGGCATAGTATAACTTCACTGTTAGTATTATTTTTCTGGCTTTGCTTACGGTCTGCATCCTCTTCCAAGACCCTAGCTCCCTGACTGCCTGGGGGCCCACCAGCTACCCTGGGCACCCCTCTGGGGCAGTGGGTGGTGGGCTGGAGACAGAGGCAGCACCCAGGAACCAGCTGTAGCTCTCAGCCCGCTCCCGCACCACCACCACCACCACCCAGCTCCTCTGCCTGCTAATTGCAGGGTTACAAGATGCCAGCTGCCTCCCAGGCCCCAGGTGGGTGCCTCCCAGTGGATCAAGGGCTCCCTGGAAGACCTCTCAGTTCTCCAGCCCCACTGACCCAGCTGCGCTGGGGTGGTCTCCATGGTGCTCAGACTCCCCTCTCCTGCTCTGGGAGGGGCCCTGAAAAGGTGTAAACATAAAGCCTTCTTCAGGCTTTCGCATTTCCCAGGCTTCCCCCACATCAGAGAGGAGCATCCTGGGTCCCCCTCCCCCGCTCAAGAACTAGCCATGGCTCCCCACTGCTGGACCGATAAGTCTCGCTCCACATCCTTGCCCATGGTGGGTTTCAGACTTGCCCTTAAGCACGTTCCCCAGTGGCCTTGGTCTCAGGTCCCTGTTGCTCTAGGATGAAGTCCAGACAGGACCATCTCTCCCGCCCCCACTGGCTTCCCCAGCATCCTCTCCATGCCTGCCCCACGGCTGGAGTACCAGTAGCGTGGTCAGGCAGGATGGCAGCACCACAGTGACTGGGGCGTTCCTCATCCGCTCGCACTGGGACCTCAAGCTCTGAAGGCAGGGGCCCCGCCTATGGGAACCTGAATCCCCTCCCCAACCCCACCACCAGGAAAGGAAGGGGAGTATAATTCAAAGCACATGCACTGCCACCGGAGGTGGACCATGGCAAGATGAGGAAACCGAGGCCCAGAGAGGGAAGGAACCAGCCAGTAAATCACAGAACCAGGGTTTGAATTCGGGCAACTCCTAAGACCAGGTGTTCTCAGCTACAGCCCTCAGCCCAGGTCTGAGCCTGGTTCAAAGCAGATGCTCTGTGACTGTTCTGGGAAAGGAGAGGGGGAGGGGAG